AGAGACAGAGACAGAGAGACAGAGAGACAGAGAGACAGAGAGACAGAGACAGAGACAGAGACAGAGACAGAGACAGAGACAGAGACAGCGAGAGAGAGAGAGAGAGACAGTCCGCGCACGAGCACTCTCCGTTAAGGCCGGCACATGCTGCGATGAGATCCTGGCTCTGAACCAGCCGGCGCTGCACGGCGGCACCCAGGCCATCCTTCGCCTCGCGGAGCCTCGCACATCCGAGATTCACTGCGTCAACTTCAGGATTCCGAGGTCGCCCCCAGCCCGGGGGGGTGTCAAGATTTGACGCTGCTTTCGTAGCTACAGACTGCGTTCAGGCCAGGCGCTGCTCCAGACCACCCTCTGCACACTGAACGGCCACGGAGACGAGGCGCGCGACGCCTTCATCGAGGGTGCTACCATGATTACACCCTTCTATGTATCCAATTCTTAATGCGTGTGAGGAGGCGAACTAACGGCAGCAGCAGCGGCAGCGGGCTGGCTGGATAAGACGGGGTCCAAAATCGCAAACACATCGCAACTCACGTGCACCTGGCCTTCGTCGCCTCCCGATTGCCGAAGCTTCAACAGGCCGTCCAGGAGGGGCACCTCAAGCAGACATCCGTAGATGCTGAAGAATAATTACTCTCGTCTCCCTGTGATGTCTTGCCCCACCCTCCCCGCCTGGCCGTCCTGGTCTCGAGCTTGGAGGTCCGCGCGAGCACAGAGAAGGGCCCACATCGCCCGCTCGTTGCCATGTGCCATGGCTTCATGGAGGGGCGTCCGGAGTTTCTTGGGATCCTTGCGGTTCACATCCGCGCGGAAGGCCAGGAAGACGCTCACCAGGTGTGCATTTCCCGCTTTTGCAGCCTCCAAGGCGGCACGCATCGAAGGTGCAGGCGAGGGAGGCACAACAAAGGGCAGACTCACACCCACTGGTCACCAGACGACCCCAGCTTCGGAGGATTCACTGCTAAGTGCAGAAGCAGGGCAGTCCTGGTGGAGGAGGCCCTTCTTGTCGTCGTTCAGCATCTCCTGGCTTCGGGATCTTAGGGAGCTTCCTCCAATCTCAATCTCGGGTGGGTTGGAAGATGCGGTTGTCCATTCCGCGGAATGGGTCAGTGCCGAGAATCTGTGCCTACGTAGGGGCAAATGACGTTTGTGTTGATCGTCGGCCTCGACACCAACTCCCGACTCGACTAGGCAGACGAAAGCTGACGGATCCTGGAGCTCGGCATCGGCATTGGCGCCCAGATTCTCCTCGCCGAAGAGTGGCTGCACAATGCGCGAGTTGGGGGAGCGAGGCGCTGGCACAAGAGACCTCCGAGTCTTCGGAGATGCTTCGAGCTTCTGGGCTGGGCCCGGGGACCGCCACTTCAAACCCTCAAACCCTCGCAACCCCGGTCCTTGCCCCACTGCAGGATGTTGTGGCACCTCTCCACAGCATCCGGCTCCCCGACAGCTGCCATGACCTTGCTTCTCTCAAGTCTGGCAGCAGCATTCCGGAAAATGCTTTACACAACTTCACCCCTTTTCCTCTGTCTCAGCAAATCCGCTCGCCCACTTCCTCCTCTCTCAGCGCGGAGGGCTCCGCCAATCCAATCCTGGCCGAGGCTCCTCGCGGGAGACCTCGAAGGCCCGGTGCCCTGCGTTCTCTTTCACGTGCAGCATCCACTTCGTGTTCAGCCTCAGAGCACAAGGCCCCAAAATGCTACAGTAGAAGCTCCAAACGCGCACGGGCCGGACACGTGGAGGCGAAGGTTTCGAAGCTTTGCGATCTCTTGGTCTCGAACATGACCCGGAAGGAACTATGCGCCGGCTTTGCGACAGCACCGAGAAAGCAAAAAGCGAGCCCCTATGGCAAGCGAGAGGCTGCAGCTCGCAGACCATTCCTTCGATGCGAAGGCTCAGCTGAAGGTCCTTGGATGGGGGGGCACATATAAGGCTCGCCCTTTTTCCTCGATTGCACTTGCAGCAAATGGAAGGAACCTCCGCCAAGAGCGATCGCTGCAGGGAGGACGGGCGAAGTTGAGTAGGTCTCTGCTCCGACACTGGAGCCAAGCGTCACGATACCCTCCGTCGAGCGGGTTCATATAGCGGTCGTTGCACTCGATGATGTCGATCTCCTCGTCTTCGTGGATCGCTCGGAGACCTTTGTACCTCGAGGGGCTGCTTCGACTTCCGAACCATCGAGCACATGCCTTTACAGCTGCGGGTGTGCAAGCTTTCCCGTTTCCAAGGCCCCCACATGTCGTCCAAATTTTGATAGACGATGGTGTCCCGGACGATGTCCGTCAATCTGTGCCATGAGATTTCGCCATTCTTATCCTGCGGGCGAGCACAGTGCTCTGCATGCAGCTGTCAGGCCTGCTTCGAGTCTCTCCTCTCTGGGCATCATCGCTCCGCTCTGAATCTTTCTGCAGTGACAAACACAGAAACCGCCAATATAGAAGGCCACGAGTTGCCATCATATGGGAGCGTTCTGCCGGTGTCCTTGTACTTGAACTGCGCCTTGTCTTGGCACCTTTGCATGCCCTTCAGGGGCGGCTCCACGTTGCGACCGCCGGTGCGCTCTGCCACCGCCCGCACTTTGGCGAAGAAGATCGGGGCCTTCTCCTCTTGCACTGCAGCATCGGTAAGAGAAGCGAACGAGCACGGAAGAAACAACAGCGGGTTCGCGAATACTGATTCAGCGAGCAGCAAGGCAACACGTGGAAAACTACAGCAAGCATTTGAGAACCTGACCAAAGCTGATGTTTGAATGTGCCGGTCGTCCTTGCAGAACGCATAGAGCTCCTCCAGCGTGTTTTGATACCTCAAAGAAGCACACTGCCATGCGTCAGGAACATCAGAGAGGCTTTCGGCACTCCAGCCCAGAAGAAGCTCTCTGCGGACGGAGCTGCGGTTGGTAGTTCATCTTCGTGGAGAAGGAGCGCCGCTTTTGCCAATCCTTGCCCATCATCTCCACGAGATCCTTCAGCACAGGGTTGCAGCTGGGAGCTGGGGAATCTCAGGAGTCCAACACGCAGGGGTTCATGTCAGCGAAGCACTGGCATGCACTCGTCCGGGAGGTTGCAAGAGTTCTTGATGCGGGTCTTGCGAGGCCCCTGCGTGGCCTTGTTGGGCTCGTACTTGTCCTTGAGCTCCTTGCTGAAGGCCTCGGGTCGCACACGGAAGTCTGCGAGGAAGAGGGCAGCTGTGTTGAAGAGGCGATGCTCTGCTTGAATAGGGCCACAAAGCTTACACAAAGTCTACGAAGGCGCAGCGGCCGCTACCACCCACCAGTCCGGAGTCCGAACTCCAACAAAGAATTTGCCACTACAGCACCTCAAGCCCTCAGCCTTTCAATGCAATTGGCAGGTCGCATAGTGATGCTGCGGGTGCAAAAGGCCATTTTGCAATTCGACGACGTGGAATGTGAGAAGACGCGATGCAAACTCAGATGAGATGGATAGCAGGGCAACATCAGGACGCAGCTAGGAAGTGTTTCGACCCGCCCTGCTGACACAATGACAGTATACACAAAGAAAGACTCCGAGACAGAGAGAACCGAGGACCCGGTCCTCGTAGTTGTGCAGGCGCGTCTTCCCTCCAGACAGGTCCTGAGCCGTGCGAGCCAAGTCTTGCAATGCGTAGTCCGGCCCACAACCCTTTCAGTTCGTTTCGCCACGCACGCTCCCGCAAACGGTGAGGTCCCGGTTTGGCGCATCCCAGGTGCCCCTCGAGACTCTGTCAACTTTTGCCGCTACATTTGTTTGTTCATTTCTTGTGCTTTCCTGTGCAGGACCCCTGCTTCACCACACACAGGCATACAGGTGCAAATTCTCCCTAAACGCCGAATGGATACTCAAGTGCAATTCTCTTCTCCAGCACTGGATCTGGCCAAGTCTCCAGAGCCGAGTCGTAGTTCGTGGGCATCGTCGCCGGGTCGACTTCTTCTTCGTCCTCCCTGCGAGCGAGCGCAAAACCGAACCCTCGGAGCCCAAGGCTCTTTCGCACCAGATTCCCGCGCGGCCTCTTCGGCTTCCTTTGCTCCTGGGCTTCTTCCGATTGCACCTGCTGCTCGAGCCGCGACAGGCGGCGCTCCAGTTGTGCCATCCCTTCGCCTTCCGTGAGCTTCGCTGCCGCAAGTGGCTACACATAGAGTTGCTGGAGTGGCTCTTTACTCTACAACTTGACTTGGGGCAGCCTGATCTTGCTGATTGGGGAAGAACTGGGATGATTGCCGGATTGCGAAAGATCATGAGCTTCACGTAGAAATGCATGGTTTCACAAATTACTGTAAGTGCTGAATACCGCCATTATATTACAGTATCCGAGCTAACTTCTCCGATGCTCCAGGGAGGGCTCTCGCAACCTCAAACCACACCGTCCCATGGCAAACCTGCCAGGCAAGAGCCACCCGGCCCCAGAAAAACTCCGAAGGCATCCCCTTTGCAGGAACTTCAGAAACTTCCAAAGGTTCCAGTGCCCGCCTCCTTCGGGCTTTGCGGCAGTGCCGGCGCCAAACTTCAGCCTCTGAATCTCCGCGGAAAGCATGGCGATGGCAGCCCCCATCTTGCAGAAGAGCGCCGTGGTCTTAGTCGGCGACAAGCCTTCCGAAACAGTCGCAGGCCAACATGAATCGAACAGAGTGCAATTTGCAGCCCGGTGGCGTGGCCGTTGATGGCCAGGAGCCACTCCCGCCTCTCCTCCTCCGTTGCCGCCGCCAAGTGCAGGCACGTCAACACCGGCTCCGCCTGCACAAAGTTCGAGACTTCGAAGGCGTAACCTTCGGACTCCGGCAAGAGCTTCTCGCGCTCGGGCTTGGCAGAGCCGGTGGTCCCCAGCATGAGCCGGGCTTGGTGCTCCCCGGCGTCGCCGAAGGTCTCGATAATGCCGGGCCCGAGGAGAACGAGGACCTTCTCCCAGGTGTCCGTGCGGGGCTGGTACTGCAACAGCTGGCCCCGCTTGAAGGGCGTTTGCATCTGCACGAGGCCCTGGAACGCGAAAGGCATGTCCATGTTGCAGTCCTGGCGGGGCGGCGAACTCCTACAGCAGACACCTAAGCCCTCTTGCCCGGGCAGCCATCTTCATGCACGTCGCGCGAACTTAAACTCTGGCTATGTGGAACTGCTTCCTCCTCGGTGTAGTCAGCGAGCCCGGCAGGTTTCTCCTGGCGCTTGCAGAAAGCGAGGATCCTGCACTCAGTTCCTTCGCAACTTCCGAGAAGGACACACCAAGGCATTCAGCACCGCGGGCCTTCCTCAGGCTGGAGGCCAGGCCGCCCTTGAGGGCAGACATCTCCTGCGGCGAATGGAAGAGCTTCGGCGGGACATGTCCCACTACAGGAATAAGTGTACGGCAACAAGGACGTGTTGGTGTAGGGTTTTCGGAGTTTGGGGCCGCTTGGCAGCTGAAGTTTCGCTGGAATGCGTGCATGTAATAACTTTCATTGGACCCTCCCCAAAGCTGCAACACTCCCCGAATATGGCTGGCTCAACCCCACATCCGTCGACAAAGAAACCAACCCCAAGAACACGGGACATCGCCCAAGCCTGAAGCCGACCTGAGGCCTCAAAAGCTTCGGGCTGTAGACTGCTGGAGAGGGTCAGCAGGGTTGGGTCGGAGGCCCTCTTGACTCCCCTTCTCTGGAGCCCTGAGCAAGCTCCGCTGAACCCTTTCATCGGCTCCTGCTTCAGTGCCTCGTTGCGACGATGAATCGACATCGGCCCTTCGTGGCTTGGGGCCCGCTGGCGGAGCCAACGGATCATGAAGTCTGCCGGGTCCTTGCCATGAACCGGGACCCTACAACCTGGAGCCAAGAAGCCCTCACCTGCAATTCCTTGACCAGAAGTCTTACACGTCTGATACCGCAATCACAGCAGTTGGAGGATTCGGGGTTCGGCTTGGGCACGAAGAAACAGAAAACTCGACAACTGCCTGGAACAAGCACTCTCCGAAGGGGCTCTCCCGAACCTGCCTCGGGCATCGCGTGGAGTGCATCCCTGGCCATGTTCGCCGTCAGGGGCTGCAACGTCTCGCCGATGTACGCGTCCTTGGGAGATGCCATGGCAAGTCGGTCGGCAGGCGCTGGAAGGCGTACGGAGGGTCGAAGGCAGTCGGCACGCGAAGCTCTGAACGCGCTCGAGCCCAAAGTGGCACAGCAAAACGCATCCGTCGACCTGGCACCTCGAAGTCGGCAGTGTCGGCAGGCGCTAAGCTGGCTCTGGAGCGGAAACCCTGGTGCAAGTCGCTTTCTCTTTTGGTCGGCCCCTGAGAAGAGGTGGAAAAAGAGCTGAGGTCCGGAGAGGGGCTCCGAAGAGTCGGCTGGCTCTCGCTGGTGTGGAGCTCAGGTGCTTTTGCTTTTGGGCACAAAAATTGAAGGATCCACCCCTGTTGGAGGGTGAAGTGCTTCCAGTTCGGGAGCAGCTCAAGGGTTTTCAAAGAGTTCCGAGTCTGAGTCTGAGGGTTGAGAAAGGCTTCAGGGTGCAGAGTTCCAAAAAAGGGGATCTGGGGGTCAAGTCTAGTTACAAGGGCTTTAGAGGGAGGACTGAAGATTATCTTGGCAGATCGTGAGCCTCAAAAGGTAATTAGCCGAAAATCACCTCTGCACAACAGGAGGCACCGACTTCAGACGTCAAGAGTGCACAAGGGCTCAAATGCAGCTACTTGGCCACTCTCTTCTTGAAACATGAGTCTGCAACTCAGACGCCTCGCGCGGAAAAGCGCTTTCGCAACACCTACCCGCCACCGGCGTCGTACTGGCAGCTACTGCCAGAAATCTACTGGAAGTTCCGCAGCTGAAGGACTCTTGAAGCTCCAACAAACTCCAAACCCAAAACTTTAACCTTAAACCCTGAACCCAGACTTTGAATCTTTTTTTACCCGAAACGCGCAGTTTCAGACCTCCGGGACTAGATTTCTCAATGGCGCTCCTTTAAGGCATTCCTTGAAGGGTTGCTTTAAAAGGGGTTACCACTCCCTTCCTGGAGTGAATAGGGGATCCCATTAAGGGGCACTTGGGGTTCTACGATTGGGTTCCTTAAAGGGAGTCACTATAAAGCACCCTTTAGTAGTGCAGAGCTTCAATTTCGGGGTTCGACATTGTAGATTCTCTCGGGGGAGCCGGGTATTCCTGCCACAGGGCAACTCAGCGAAATCCCTCAAACCGGAGTCTTTTGTATTGCTCAGCGGTGCATCTGTATACATAGACATGCAGTTTCTCGTGCGGTCTTTTGAAGCCTCCTTTGGAACTCTGCTGGACCTTTCTCTTCACTTCTCCGCCGCAGAAGCAGAGGCAGGAGCCCGGCAGTCCTTCGGGGAAGCAACAAAGGAAAGCTTCGGAGGCCTTGTCTTGAGACCTGATGCAAAACCTCTGGCAGACTACAGGGCCGAAAGCGCCTCTGACTCGCATAACACACCCTCCCGCGAAGATACTGCAGGCTTCTCTTGGTTTGGGGTCGGCATGTCCAGTCATTAAACCATGCAAAACCCAAAACTTTTGCTGAACTGCTCGTCTGTTTGAAGAACTCTCCTCTCTCTGGGGAGGGTGTTGTCAGCTCCCACTCTGTGATAGCTATAGGCCTTGTTTC